CTAGGATAGAGCTGTGGCGGGGTGATCTTCTTTCTCCTTTATAAAACCATGAAGGTAAGTGTTCGCTGATTCGTTTGGATAGCAAACGCCGGGTACGGCCGACATACCTAGCTCCACATGAGCAGGTGAATTGGTAGATGCACATTAATGAGGCCCCCAGTGGTAGCTTATCCTTCACGTTCGTGCGAATCGTTTGGTTTCGTAGAGAATGTTAGTCTGAGTTCAGCTGCGAAGAAGGTTTTCTTCAGTGAACGGCACAGGCGGCGGTTTCTCAGTATTTCTGCTGAAGAATCCCCGTTGAATTGTAGATTCAAATAGAGAAGTTTCTTGGGAGCAGTAAGCATGGACGGTTTTTGTGTTTTGAGCTTCATAGCTTTTGTGATGAAACTTTCCGGGTAATCGTTTTCAAGGAGGATTCTTTTCAGGGTCTTCAGCTCCTCTTCTCTAGTTTCCGGACTGCAAATGTTGTGGATTCTGTGAGTCAGTGAGAGGATTAGATTTCGTTTTGTTTGTATATAGAGGCACCCAACTGTGGAAGTTGATGACTTGTCCATTCCATGTCGGTTTTCTGTGAATGGATCTTTTGAGTGTCCCATCTAGTTCGCGTCTTGCTAGTTGCACTTCCAGAAAATGATAATAATATACTACTTAATACTACTTAATTTTTATCACCCTATGCATTAAAATATATAAGCCATATTTGGCTTTGTTTATTGCACGGAAAAAAAGTGTGGCTTAGTAGAATGAAATATTAATTATCTCAATAGAATATGTATGTATGAATATGAGTATAAATAGGCTAATCCGTTTTTTCTTTTCCATGTACAAAGTACAAAGTGTGTTCTCAAGAACACATTATTTATGGTTAGAGTAGAAATAATAATTATAGACTATAGTGTTATACACTGTACCTTGATCACAATAATAATAATAATTATTATTATTAGAAAATATAATTACAATTTTGATAATATTAATCATAACCACTTTATTCGAAATACTGACCTTTTTTCTCTCACTCAGAGTAGAACATTTCAGTATTATTTTACAAGAGGTAGTACTTGAGACAAGGAGAATGCCAAGTAGAGCATACTCTCCAATTCATTCGTATTATTGCATTCAAACGCTTTTTTGTGTAGATTGTATTTTGATCATCTAAAGAGTATTGTATTGTAGGCTTTGAATTTAATCTTTCAAGTGGTTTTTTGGTTAACAGCACACTCAGTGTTCTTAAAGTAGGTGATGGAGGGGTGGGTGGGTATAGAAAGCACTGAAACCTGCAAAGATATGAATCATTCTTTTCAAATATCAGACCGTCAGTCAGTCAGTCAGTTCATCAGGTGTTCAAATTCCCCTGAGATAACTGTATCAGCCTGGGGAACCAGATGGAATCACATTTCGTTTTTGACCAATAGTGTGGCCAGCTGAGAGTTCTGTGATTGTTTCGTATGAAGTGATTTCTTCAAACTTCCAACACCTTCTTGATAACTTCAAGAGTTAGTCTGCAAGGATTTCATTGATTTTAAGTCTGATGATGACCTGATAGCTGTTTGAGAACCAGTGAAAACCACAAGGGATTACTATAGAGCTTTCTCGTCCCAGTGTGGGACTCATCTGTATAACATACCTACCGGGGTTTGGACGAAGTACCTTCTGGTTACAAGACAAGCTCGAAGACCATTCATCCACCGGAAGGTTCTGGGTTCGAACCCTGGTGGGCGCGTACTATTGATGAGTCTTAAACAAGGATGAAACAGTTGTCCAGTACTCCTTGGCTTTCAGTGGTTCTGTGACTGATACTATTCTGTGGTCGAACTTGGAATTATTTTAATCTCTGCATGCTAAGCATTAAACCATCAATAAATCATCATGCAATAAATTTGCTAAAGGGATTTTGTCTGACTTCGAGCATCCACTTTACCCTCAGCTTTCACCTTGCATCTCCTCAGATAGAAAAAGAAGTAATTTGAGAAAACTGTATGCTCGCACGTCTCAGTATAAAAATTCTTTGATACCATATTTGGCACGTATCTTATGTGATGAAAATAGTGTCAGGCAAGAATTAACTAACCTTTTTTCATCTAGTAAATAAACAATCTCCTCCATCCATCTTTATATACCTTCAAGTTTTACTTTTATTATTTCTATTATATTTATGGTCCTGTTACTTCTTTCTTTTACTCTCATAACTGCAAACACCAACTTATCTCTATGACTGCTGTAATCTTTGTTTTTTTCCCTCACCACATCATTTAAAGAGAACATTATATTAAATATTTTTAAACATGCTAGGATTTCTATACCGCATCGATAATACTGTGTGAAACAAGCCCACGGCAATTTCCACTTGTATTATTATTATCATTACCTTAGCTGCTATCATTATTATTATTATTATTTCCATTTTGACATTACCCCTATTGTAAATGTAGAAGATTTTCTGTGTGATTAATTTTTATTTATAATTTGAGGAAATTAGATGCAATATTATTGTGACTAATGCTGAAAATTCCATTCTGTATCACAAGTACTTTTTTTGGAATAAAGTAGATTATCATTATTATTATTATAAAAAAATGTAAACATACCCAGCTTTTATACAGTTGAGAACATTGGATTACTGGCTTCAAGTAATCATTTTCTGAGCTAGCCATAAAATAGTCAATCTGCAAAGAGAGGAAGGACTTAGACGAAGATCCTATGATGACTCTGTCCTTTTCCATGCAGACTGCTTCACACTGTGATGATTATTTAAAAAATAATAGTATGTTAAATGCATTTTAGCGGTTGCCATCCAGTGATAAAAACAACTCACACCTGAAATGAGTCTAACAACATTCATTTTCATGATGTGAGGTTATCAACAAGGAGTCATGGAGCTTTGAGGTAATAAAATTATAAAGAACTGTCATTGAATTGTCAGCTGAGAAATTTCTACAACCAGGTGTCTTATTAGTCGAAAAATTAAACTGATTCGACCACTTATCACTCGTTTGACGCCTATATAGTTCTGATACTGTATACGAAAGGTTAAGTCTCCTGAGAAAATCTCAATATACCACTTTTTGTAAACATAAGTATACTTTCAAAACCTGGTAATATTATCAGACCTCCCGCAAAATTTTTCTCTCATAGCCTGGGTACCTGCAGACTAAACCTAGTCAGCGACTCATTCCTTGGCTAACAATCCTCCGCATGTGTAAAACAGTACTGGAGATGACGTCAAGCATAATTTCGAAAATTCTGATTAAATGCGTAATTGAAGTTCAGAGAACCACATACCTTTTTCAGACCTCCTATAAACTAAGGGAAGTAAAGTGGACTGTAAAAACACTTTGAGTGGACCAGTGTGTAACAAACCGCTCCAACAAAGCCGTCAAGTAGTACCCGAACAGGCAACGAGTATGGCGTGGGTTCATGTGGGAGGGGGGAATGAAAGCTTATCTTGATGTGGTGCCTGAAGCCGTATATTCCACTTGTAACCCAAGGAAATAAAAATAATAATTTTCTCATTTCAACAAGCGATTCTTTTTCTCTAGGGAAAAGAGTGAGAAATTTTCCTTTAAGAAACAAAAAGTTCAGGAAAGAGTCTTTTTTTCGGCGAATTCATTCAATTAGCTGTGTGTATGTGTGCGTACATTAGGATTGTTAACCAAGATAAAAATTTTCGAGAATTGGATTTGTAGGGATTCTGGTTGGAGGATTTCATCATGAGCTGACATAGGTTAGAGAACCATTGGAAAACACGGAAGTACTGAACATCTATTTCGTCCAACTAGCTTGAGGATCCCATTGTAACAACAGAAGACAAGGGCCAGGCAACAGAACGTTTGTTACGGAAAATCAACACGTATTTATAGATTTTGATGTACATTATTGTAGGTTAATGTTAGTAGAAAATACAGTCTGTTGATTGGTTGTTTCTCACGCAAAGTCAACTTTGCGTCTCTTGTGGCTGTGTCAGTTCGTCTATATGTTAACTGTATCCGCCTGTCCATTTTGACCTTTGACCTCAATTGCTGTCAACCAATTTGGCCAGCAACCACCTCTCACCGCAACATGACTAATATTTGATACATAAACATTGACCTCAATTACTGTCAACCAATTGGCTAGTAGACAGCTCTCACCACACCATCGTCAGGGTTCGAACTCACAACCTCCTGGTTACAAGGTTGACGAGCTTGTGGACACCATTAAACCACTGGGACACGATCCAATGACCAGCCAGCCAGCCAGCCCATGAATTCTAACTTCTGTCAATTGTGGGTCGCAGTGGCTTAATGGTCTACAAGATCGCTAGCCTTGTAACCAGAAGGTCCTCCGTTCAAACCCCAAAGTAGTGGAACGAAACAGCTGGCTGTCCAGTACTCCTAGCTGGTTTTCCATTCGTTCTCTAACCATTATCAGCTCATGATGAATTCCTCCAACCAAAATAAAAATTAGTTAGGGTCATTGCTTACATCATCAAAACGTCTCAGAAATGTGATGGATAATCAAACTGTGGCTAGGGGGGAGGGGAAGATTGGTAAGTAATGACAAGGGCTGCGTAATATGAAAGACACCCAGCAAAATAGGATGTTAATGAAAGAGCATGCAAACAAGTGTCCAAAATAAATTACGTAATAGGTGGAAAGAGTAAATAAAGGGTTGGTTAAGAAGAAGATGTTACTAAGACGTCATACAAAAGTCCAAAGAAAACATTATTAACAAAGTCGTAGAACTTGGAATTATACCCAAGGTAGAAGGAAGGGGATCGGAGAAGTTTCTCCTTTGTGCATTCCATAGGGTTTTCTGTCTGGATCGCTAAGGCCTCACTCGGCAATGCAAAGTATACGAAAGCTTACTGTTTTCCGGAGGTTTTTTTGACTTTGTAGATTAATTTGAATGAATTCCCCTAACACATATTGAGTGACCAGTGTTGACTATATGTTCAATTATATTGCACTTCTTATTGATCCTCCGTTACCTTTTTTTCTTTCTATTGTAAATATATATAGAGTATATATCACATTTAGTATGTGTTCACAAGCTCTTGGTCGTATAACTGCTTTCAGTACAGATACAAAAACAGCTGAAGAAGCTATGCAACGCATATTCAATGTTATCGATCGTGAACCGACTATACCAACTCATAAAGGTTATGAACCAAAGGAGAAATTTAAAGGTCTTATTGAATTCAAGAAGGTTAATTTCAGATATCCAACCAGACCTGAAGTAAAAGTGATTAAAGTGAGTGGGCTTCCCTCTGTGTGTGTGTGTGTGTGGAGGCATAACTGCGCGATAATGTTTTGCATTTATCATGGAATTTCAGGGAATGTATACGCTGGATCACAAATTGATAGCAGTTGAGTAATATATGAAAATTATTCTATTCTCAGGTCGTAGTAAGCTCCATATAAAGAGAAGGTCAGACGGGATTCTAGTGACTCCATCCTGTAAAGAAAAACGCCACTGCTACTGAATCTTCAAAGCACAAACTTGAAGCCCTGCGTGGCATTGGGAATGTTGAGGAATTGAAGAGAAGAAGTCGTTAAATACTTTCTGTGAGACGCCTAATGTGTATGATTTAGAATAGAAATGTGTAAAGTCACTGCTGAAGAGCACTATATTGGGACAAAACTTTTTCTGAGTACGTAAACTATTGGTGATAGGGTTGATATTCTGCCCGAGTGCTCAAACTGAAGCAGATGGTTGTCTAAGTGGGTCACCCAACCTCAAGTTTTTGGCTTGAATTCTGATCCACAAGACAGTAGAGAAGCGTCAGCAGCTACGTTCCCATGGATTCCAGTGACTAAAACAAATTCACTCACCATTCAATCCTTAAAGATTCTTAAGCCCATGCACACTATAGGTTTGGAACCAGGGTTTTCTAGCTCGCCTAGGTAGAAGATCTGCATCTGCACAAATCTGACTATAAGCGCTAAACGTTTACTTCTGTGAAGAACAACCCCCTATGTGAGGATAATGAATAGGGTTAATCTCACTCAGTAATCTCACCCCTTTCTTTTACCTTTAATGTGTACGTTAACTTTTCTGCTTTCCATGGAGCAATCAAGTTGCACTTGGGCTGTGAGGGAGGAGAGTCGGAGGGTGATATGGAGGAGTTCATATGAGAAGAAAATGAAAGCCTATGGACAGTAACCTCACCAAACATCATAGTCATAAGTTGATTCCCATTATCTATCTTACCTTGAACATATTTTTCATGCGCCATGCACCAAGTCACACTTATTGTTTGAAGACTGATTGAAGCATCCTACCCAGTTGCTTAGAGTGAAGCAGCTGGAACAGAATTCGTATCTGGGAATCACTGACCGACAATTCACAGCTTAAATCATAAAGAAATAAGAATTTCCAACGCCTACACCATACACAAAAGCTGAAACCTGACGCCCTTTGTACGATTTCGCCTCACTTTGTATATGATCTTGAAAGACAACTCTGGTGGAGCTATGTGTCTTGAGTTCACTATGTGCATGAGAATTATCGATCAAGTAACTGCTTTGCATTGTCCTTTTGCTAACCATGCCGCATAATGTTCAGTGATGCGTTTGCAAAGTGTGCGCTTTGTGCAGCCAATATAACTAGCTCCACACGAGTAGATGAATTTGTAAACACACATTGAAGTGGGCCAAAACGGCAGTTTATCCTCCACACATCCACTGATCATTTGTCGAGTGTAGAAACTGATCCGGAGCTCAACCGTAAAGAAGGTTTTTCTTAGTGATCTGCATAAACGATTCTTCAGGATCTCAGCTGCGGTATCACTTTTAAATTCAATGTTCATAAGTAGCAGTTTCTTTGCCAACGTTTGGGTTCTTTCAGGCTTTTGGTTTAACTTCATGTTTTTCTCAATGAATCTTGGAGGATATCCATTCTCGATGAGGACTTGTTCGAGTTGCTCCACTTCCCCGTCGATTGTTGTCGATTCTCTAGCAATTAGTGTACTCAAAACATATAGCTCCACCAGAGTCATCTTTTAAGATCGCTTACAAGGTGAGGCCAGATGGTACAAATGGCGTCAGGTTTCGGAGGTTTCGTGTATGGTGGAGGCAGAGGCGTTGGCAATTCGTCAAACTCTGTATACAGAAATAAGAATCTCCAAGTCATCTGTGATTTTCGTTATCACTTTTATACTATTATTATTATTATCACTGGTAATTATGAAAAAGGCATTTAGAAGACAAATTTCGCGAGAGGAAACCGTAATTTCGTAGTTTCTTTACAACCGATTTACAAGTAACATGGTTAACAATAATAAAATAAAGTTCAAGACAATTACTCAGTTAAATAAAAAACAAAAGTACATACTAATGACCATTCATATTTAAAAAGGTCAAGTAGTCCACGGTAGGCGGAAGTTGAGGTTTATTGTTTCTTGTAAACACAGTTTAGGCTGTATGTGATTAATCCAAAGTGCTTCCATCACCTTTAATGACCAACATTGAATTAGAGTTATGTGAAATAATTGTGAAACAGTCATTAATATTGATTTTGTGACCTGACATTAATAAGTGCTTTGCAATGGATGATGATGATGGATTTCTATTTAGATTAATGAACGCAATGGGATTTTCTGTGTTTTAATAACCACTTCGGAACATTCTATTGGTTATACCTATACAGGTGTCACCGCAACTGCAAGTGAACTTGTAGATACAGTTTGAAGTAGAAATCACATAATTTCGTCCTCTAATCCTAGGTACAGGGATCGAAAATGTTCGAGAAGTGAGGGTAAAAGAGATGCGGCGTAGAATGTGTGCGCTTGATGGTTGAACGAAGTCTTTGAGCTGTCAACTGCATGCATAATCTTGTCACCCTTGAATGGTAGGTTAATAAATATAGCTTTCTTTGGTACAGAAGCTGTCTTTTCAAGATGTGGTCCATCCTTACTGTGGCAGTTGATTGATAAAGTTTTTCCTGGATAACCATTAGCTAATAAAACTGAATGTTGTATATGTCGAAGCTCATCCATCAATGTGTCTGTCACTCGTGCATATTTTTCGAGCCCTTGAGTAATTATGCTTTTTTTCGAATTATCTTTAGAATTTTTCACATCGTATTAAACCTGGAAAAAAGGTGGCATTAGTCGGACAGTCGGGTTGTGGAAAATCAACACTCATACAACTGTTACAGCGGTTCTATGATCCGTCAGATCATGGTGATGCCTATGGGATCTTTTTTGATGGTATGAATATTCGCCAACTATCACCTTATTGGATACGTAGACAAATTGGTATTGTATCACAAGAACCGGTATTGCTTAATTTAAGTTTACGTGAAAATATTGCCTATGGTGATAATACACGTAATGTTACTATGGATGAGATTATAGAAGCAGCTAAATTAGCGAATATTCATGATTTTATATTATCTCTGCCTAATGTAAGTTCTATATGAAATTATCTATTATTATTATTATCATCATTATTATTATTGTTGTTAGAATAAGACATATTATTGTTATTATTATTGTTCCCTTGGGTTCCTAGTGGAACATACAGCTTCAACTACACGTCTCCACTTGCTTCTGTCTTCTGCTGTACTTTTCACCTGCATCCATGTTAGTCCATACTGTTTCAGTTCCTCTTCACACGATCTCCTCCATGTCACCCTTCGACGTCCCACTCGCTGCTTCCCTTTCGAGTTCCACTCGAGCATTGGCCTGACGCGTGATGTCACCCAACGGCTTCCTCAGCTCAGTGAGTGTCCAATCCATCTCCACTTTCTCCTGCATATTATTTATTGAGCGATTGGTTCTTGTTTTGTTTGTTCCCATAGTTTCTTGTTGGTGATTCTTTCCGGCCATCTGATCTTCAGTATAGAACGAAGACAGTTAATTGTTGATAAAGGTCTGCAACAGGCTGTTGGAAATATTCTTTGTGACCTGCCGCCAAGTTTCTGATCTGATCCGTATAGAAGAACTGACTGACTTGACGTTTGTATTGAAAATCCGAATTTTGTTGTTGATGTTGAGTGACGGAGATTTCCAGATTGGTTTCAGGTTGATGAATGTGTTTCTCCCCACCCCGATTCTCGATTTGACATCTTCGTCCGTTCCGACTGCCTGTAGTTGAGACAATGCTCCCTAGATAAGTGAATGGAGTAACCTCTTTCAAATCCCTCCTGTTGATGGTGACTGGCGCTGGATGTTGCTGCTGCTGTTGTTGTTGGATAGTTGGTTATTTTCATAACCTTCGTCTTGTCTATGTTCGCCTGGAGTCCTGTGAATATAAGACATATAAGCGAACAATATTGTTGTTTTCAATTAGATCTTCAGGCTTTACTCTAATTTACGTAGATGAATACACTACACTTCTTTGATGTCCAATTGAGCAGAAGAGAGGATGGTTCACTCAAAAGAGAGATGCCTATAGAAAACCTACATCTGTAGGACAATATATACACATTTCGTCAATTTTGTACCAATCCGATACAAAATCAATTTGGTCAGATGCCGCCTCACTAATAGAGCAAGGCGGATCTGTACAGATGAATCCCTAGATAATGAGTTAGGATACATTCAAAATATGCTGGTCCAAATGGGTTATCCTAGTAGATTTGTAAGAAGACACATGAACACCAAGTACAATAAAGAGAAACTGACAACAGTTGAAAAGAAACAACTGTTCATGAAATTGGAGTTTATTGGGGAGGTGGCTAGTGAAGTCTTACATCTAAGATTATCGAGAGCAGTAAAACGGACGTGTACTGCCGCAACCACCCTTTGTTTGTCATTTTCAGGCGACCAATTATGATTCCTCAAGCGAAAGACAAGTTACCTAGCTGTACAACTTCTATGTGTATCTATAAATTTAGTTGCTCCTGTAGAGAGAGAGAGAGCTATATAGGGGCAGCTATAGACAGCTCAACAAACGCATTAATGAGCATCTTCCTTCATGGTTTGGAAAAGGTCAAATAAAATCTATACGAAGTTCTATTCTGAATCATTTGATTGATGACAGTGGTCACCAAGTGGACAAAAATAGTGCCTTCAAAGTTATCTATCGCATTCCATCGAGCATTTGGAACGGAATTCGAACCCACCTGCTAAACACATAGCCGAAGCTATGGGAATTAATTCGAGAGAACAATCCTATTCTTTGCATACAACAAAGGAAGTTTGTTCTACCTTTGTCTATCCCTTGCTTGCCTAGGTGAATTCTAATTCATAACCTCCCACACATTGTTATTTTCCATTTCCTTCGCGTTTTAATTATATTTATTTAAACTCTGATTATCTGTCCATTTCACCTTTGGCATTACGTAACTATGTAAATTAGAGTAAAGCCTGAAGAAGATCTAATTGAAAACAGCAATATTGTTCGCTTATATGTCTTGTTCTAATATTAAAAATTTGGAATATTTAAAGATTATTAATACTATTACAATAATTGATTTGACAATTATATGCTGATTCATATTTTCTTATCTGACCTGATCAAAGTTCATCGACTATTTTTGCATTATGATCACTTAGTTAACTCCATAGATAACAAGATAGAAGAAAGATATGTTACTAAACTTATGTGATGCAAAGGCTCAAACCCAAAATTTCGATACGTTATGTAGATGACACATTTGTAATGATCAAAAGAAATGAGCTGGATAAAACTCACAAATGATCTCATAAACAACATCTTCAACGACATCAAATTCAAAAGAGAAGAAAATTTCGAGAACGAAATCCTATTTTTGGACGTCTTAGTCAAGGGTTCCGAGTGGAAAATAGGGCTTCGCCATCGCATCTCAATTTCACTCTGTTCTCTGTAGTATTAATTTAGCTGGCTCCTTAACTGTCCTTTAGCTTTGAATTCCGCATCACACAGTCTGCTTTATATCAACCTTTCACCTAGGTCCTCCTCGCCGTTTTCCATTCATGTCACACTGGAGAGGTCTGCTTATTGTGTGATGTCGCTCAGAGGTCTCCTCAGTGTACAACCAATCCATTTTCACTTTTTTATGAATATATTCTGGGCAATAGGTTCTTGGTTTATTCGTTACCAGAGTTTTTTAATGCTTATTTTTTCCGATAGGGCATCTCCTCTTCAGTATTGAGTGAAGGCAGCTCTTTATTCTATAACTATTAGTGAAAGTAATTATTATTTGGAATGGCAAAATGAGGGCGGTCTTAATAATGCGTATCTGACTGTACCTTCAAGAATAATCCATGTTATCTTCAATCCATACCTAAATTCTCTATCATCTTGAAAATATGAAATTCAAAAAGCCATCCTTTCTAAAAAAGGTCAAAAGAGTGACTGACTAAGGGGAAACGGGATTGAGTACTACTTGTAGTATTCCTTTGCGTTCTTAGTGGAACTTTTGGAATTCAAGCCTCAGCTTCAAAGTTTCAGTAGTGAGATGGAGACAAGTAATGTCTAGATCCTCTGGGCTTTTGGTTTGATATTCTTATCTACGAAGGTTTCTTCTAAAAGATCTAGTTTTGCTTCCAGGGCAACAGGATTTAAAAATGAGTCGGATCCGAATGGCAATGGATTTAGCTAGATTTCGTTTTCCTCCGACTGACACCCAATTGTAGTAACTTGTTAGTTGACCGCTCCAATTGGGTTTTCTATAAGTTGACCTTCTTAAGTTTCTGTCGCTGCATCTTGTTAATTTCACATCAAGAAAGGGAATTTTAGATTCGTTTACCACTTCTACGGGGAATTTTTTTGCTGTATCGCAGTTGTTAAATATTTGTAGCAATTGAGTATGGTCATAGCTACGCGTACCGTTTATACAGTTGTAAATTGTCAATAGATGACTTTAATGGACCATTCTCAAGGCTAGGCATGGATTTGACTGCTAGTCAGTGACACCATAAGCCAAAAATAAGGTATATGATTCACTAAATTGGATGTTTTTGGGTTGAAACCTATTCAGTTAATGTATGTGTAGCTTCTCATTAGAAACACCCACTTGTTTTAATTTGTTTACTTCATCAGAAAGAATTTTTCTGGTATCATATTTTCATTGATGTTTTTATTTTTATTATTTTTTTAATAAACGTGTATCCTGTATACTTTTGGTCGACCACAATAACACAGATGATAAATTCCTTCTTCCTGCATATCTTTATGAGAAAAAACTTAAACTAATATATTACTTAAATATGTGTAATAAGTGACCAAATTTCTCTCACGCTTTATTTATTTTTTTTAATTTATTTATCTATTAATCTTAGGCATATGACACATTAGCAGGTCAAGATGGTTCACAGCTGTCTGGCGGCCAAAAACAACGTATCGCTATAGCACGTGCATTAATACGTAAGCCAACATTATTGCTACTTGATGAAGCAACATCTGCATTGGATAATGAAAATCAACGTCTGGTACAAAAAGCACTGAATGATGCAATGTTAACTCGTACAGCTGTTGTTGTAGCTCATCGTTTGACTACTATTGAAAATGTTGACCTGATTATTGTTTTATCTAATGGACGTGTATGTGAATACGGGAGAATGGATGAATTGATTGCCAAGAAAGGTGAATTCTACAATTTATATAAATCTGATGAGAAAAAATAAGAAAAATGAGCAAAATAGAACAAGTCAAAAGATTGTTGTTGTTTTTTAGATATAAGTATATGTACTACTTATTTGCATATAAGTAGACTATTTATATTTATGAAAGAAAATTGAGATTTTTTAAAATGGCTTTTATAACAATCATTATTTTTTGTCGTTGTTATTGCTGTTGACTCCAGTAGGTCCGGTCAGAGCTGTATTTGTCTATATTATTCATATCTATATTGATTGCATTATCCGCCTTCATTTTGTAACACACTCCCTGACTTCCACTCTTTTCTACATAATGACAATCAATTATTCCATAATCATTAATTACACAAGTGATTTCTACAAATACACAGAAGAACATCAATGATCACTTTATACCACCTTTTGTAATATTTGTTTTGCTATGGTAAATTTTTGGCGGGAAATCAAATTTAAATTTTAAGATTAGGTTGTACATTGTTTAATAAAAGTATTCATTCAGCTGGTATTGTTATTATTATTTCGCTTATTTGAACCATGTGAACTTTGTACAATATGGGTAACAGAAAATGTGGCGACATGCATTTCATCAAAGAGACACACCAGAAATCAAACAGACTTCATTTCAATATCAAGAAAGTGGAGACGTAGCCTGCTGAGCATAGAATCGAAGAGAGGATTAGATGTGGCCATAGACCGCTGCCTAGTGCAAAACCATAGGTTTAGGAGATTGCTGAATGACAACTCACACCAAGCCAGCCTTTTAGTGGAACGTGAATGGGAAACGATGAGATGGGTGTCCGAAGGTGACATGAATTATTTCGTGTGAGAAATAAATAAAGGCTTATGGACAACTGTTAACTCAAGTAGACAGTATTGCAGAGAACAGTGCGAAATGATGATGTTCTGCTAAGCTCTATGTTCCTCTCGGGATCCAAGGAAAAAACGAAGTAGAACAACTAAGACATGATAATTATCCAAGTGTTGGTTTGCAAGAGTCTGATTGGTTTCAAGATTTCATTATGAATTGACGTCGGCTAGAGGACCATTGGAAAACCACCTAGGAGCACTCCTACCCTAAGAACTCCTCAGACATACGCTCCCACCGGAGTTCGGACCCAGGACCTTCCAGTTACGGTTACAAGGCGAGCTTCTAGACCATTAAGCCACTGGGACCCGATCCGATGGCCAGTCCAAGAATCCCAACTTCTTCCAATTCTGGATGTGGTGTGACCGCTAGCCAACGTTATCACTGGAGAGTATTTGTTCCCACACCCGAGCTGCTGTACCCCACTGGTCACGACTTCCCACTAGAACCCAGTTAACTACCTACCTGATATTCAGGTGTCGGTTTGCAGGGGTTTGATTGGTTCCAGGATTTCATCAGGTTTTCCCAGGATTTCCAGTGGTCCTTTAACTGATGTCAGTTCATGATGAAATCCTGAGATAATAATTAGTTAGAATATCCACTGAAAATACTCAAGAAAATGTCTAGCACTTCGTGTTACTTTGAGATAGACAGTGAAAATGTGAAAATCGCTGCGGGTTCACCCTTGATCTCGATTCTCAAACTTACTCTGGTATTGTCTCAACTCACTAATCTGAATAATCTTTGGGACCTCGCTTAGGGAGTCATGATCTACCAGTGAATGCTAATTCATCCCAACTGCTCTCCATCACCCGTTATAGGCTGCTCCAACTTTACCGTCTGTATGCTTAAGGTCAAAAGGTTATCCCTCTTTTTACTTTTATAAAAGCACCCTCATCCGGTAGAGGTTATGAGCGAGCATGTCGCCACATAAATGTTTCGAGATGGAAAGAAGAGTCCACTTCACTTTGACAGTACTTGATTATTTTTAGGGGACTGATGACAGACAGTAATTTGGCTACTATTCTCAAAAGAATTAATGTTTAAACTGTTATTTGTTTTTGATTTTCAATTATTGTACTTTACTGTCGAAAGACTGACAAAACTCATGCAAGTGGAGAAAGGCCCAACTTCAAATACTGACGCCTGATTACTAAGTTATTTTATTGGTATTCGATTTGTCATTATATTCGTTTATTCGATATTAGTAAGTGAATTAGCCAAAATTATAGAAGGATTAGACAATCATATCGTCCTATTTTGGTTGGTGGTGACAAGCGCACTTCGTCCTATTTGAGCCTCATCAGCCGAATGTTCCTGCATTCGCAGTGAGTAAAGGTGGGATCATGAGCTCTTGCTACTGAAGAGTCCCAAAGTGAAACAAAAGAGGTGTCCAGTACTCCCTAGTTTTCAATAAACGCATAACAGGAAATCAAACAATATATTACAGATATTAAGAATACTGAGAATACATGTAGGTCCACTGTCCATAAGTTTAATAATTTAATGCAAATTTCTGCGTATGGTATCTTTCAATGATTCTGCTTCACTGTACGTTTGCCAAACTAGTTGCTGAGTTTTCACTGTAATACGATGTGAGTTCCCCGTAATTTGTAAGCGATGAAACTGAAAATTAGGATGGCAACCAGGTAGCTCCAAAGAAAGAGAACACAAAGTGCTGGCTAACACGCTTATATTTCATTCTCCCGCGTAAAAGGTGTATTGTCGAGAGTTTATACAAGTAGGTCAAGTGAAGATTTTATTTCGAACAAGAGATATACGCAAAATTTTGATAGGAAGGAATGTCATTTTTTTGACTTTTAACAAAATCATCTTTCTACACTCTGCAAGTTCTCTGAGGCAAATTTAAACTTTGAGCATCACAAATCACCAACTAGCGAATGACTTCAAACGCATAAGTCACATGAAGGAGGCATTTTTGGTTATGGAAAGCATATATTCATGAAATAAACGCATAAAAACTGTATAATACTGTTACATAGGATACCTTTCTCTGCCATGTGATAAAAACATCTGCCAGTTTAGCATAGGAGTGAGTATCAATGGAAAAGTTATACCATATTCCGTTCAAATAGTCATCCAAATGACTATAAATGACATCCTTTTGAGAACCATCCTGTTTTTTTATCCTTCCCCAAAAAGTCTTCTATAGAATTGGTGTGTGTCCCTGTAATGGGATCCACAAAATCATTAGAATGGTGTCATATAAGTCGATCACCCAAATATTGTTTGCTCGTTCACGGCCACAGTTATATTTTTTCTTCAATAGGACAGTTTCGTCCACGTGCACGACGACACCTTCTCCTTCTAATAACGAAGTAATTCTCTTCATTTTTCAAGACGCGATATCTCTGCAGTGCTGGTACCACTGAACTGTTGATACGAGCCGTGGTTCAGCAGCTGCACCTCTCACGAGCTGTTTTAAAACCCAGTAATTACAAATATACAAAATCTGGCTTAAGGACAGATGAGATCTGGCAAAAATTGTTCCCGCGGAATATAAGAACCATCAGCTTACCTTCCCTGACACTAAGTCATGTCAAACAAATTGCCCAACGATGGACACATCCATCATTTGACCTGATAAAGCTCTTTATACTCATACCACCTCCACATAAACAAATCCTTCCCTTATTAAGCGACCCCATATCCAGGAAATCACGATAATAGACTTGCCATCCAAGTTTACCAAGGAAATGAACAGTAGGGAACATTTTTTATAGACCGACATAAAGTGAAGTGTCTGGAAGTGGCAGAATTTTAAAAACTATTGTTAAGCTGATATCTTAAGCTATTACATCTCCAACTGTCCATGAAGAAAGCAAAAAGTGGAATGTATATTCAAAACACCTTTTGAGTGACGACGTGTTTTTAGGATCTTTAGAATCTCCTTGTCATAAGAAGCATTAGAAACATGCTCTTTGCTCACTTCAACTATCTTTCTTACTTCATTGGCTTTCATTCAACTGACTGTTCAACATACCGTCTGCAGAAAACCCATGGAAACATATTTAAAGTTGAATTAGATCGGAAAAATATCAGATCGGTAGCATACAATGATTTGTATTCAGGTTAATTTTGCATCTCTGGTTGATTGATTATTTATTGATTATGTAGAACCAAAGTGCTCAGTCTCGTCTCATATGTTAACTTCGAATACGGAGGCTTAGACTATGTCTGAGGCTTAACTTGGAATTAATTTTGACTGGGTGAAAGTAACATCATTTACCAGAGATTGCAGTCACATCCAGATGATGAATTCCGAATAGGATGAAATGTACATCTCATAGTGGATTCTACTGCTAGTCACCGTCTACCATAAAAGCATCAGGTTAAACCTCAAATATCGTCACACCGTCCTTACTAGAAGCGAATATGTAAACAGAGACCAAGCATTTCAATCCATCAACATATAAATCAGCGGGAAATACGAATATTAACTTGTACAATTAATAACTCATACTCGTTACATAAGATTTAGCTCTCCTGGCCTAATGGATAACAGTTTAGCGTTGGAAACGGTGGACAATTGACTCATATCATAATAAGGACAAAATTAATCATTCACAGATAGGCGAAATGCGTATCCCTGACTACTCCATTGCAAGTCACTATCAACCTAAAATAGCTTCATGATGGCACTCGATTTAAGTTCCCGAATCATTTATTTTTAGATTACAATTATACTACTTAATTTTGATTCAAGTAGATCAAACGTAATTGGTAATTCAGTGGTGTATAAATGTGATCTTTGCATAAATGTACTTGCTTTATTATTCTTTCCTTTCTGAGTGAAATATAGGGCATCACACTCTAGAGTTTCAGTAGCATCAGTGTTGTTTAATAATAATAATAATTTGCTTTATTCCAAAACAGTACTTGTGATACAGAATGGAATTCTCAGCATTTTTACTACAGTATTGCATCCAGTTAGTACATTATCAATAAATAAAATTCTACATAGATTAAGGAAATCTCAGTTCATTATGACAACAACATATTGGCATGTCGGTAGCAAAGGTAAAGTTGAACAGAATGTTTGAAGGTGTTAGAAAAGTAGGTGCTACCATATTTACTGGTGTAAGCGAGAGAAAGAAACAAAGCAGCACATAACGGAAAAAGGAAAAGAGAGGGAGAAAAAGAAAAGAAAGAAAGAAAATGTTGTACCTATAAATGATATGAGTTGGAAAGACAAGGTCCAGTTGTACTACTGACTATTTAATGAATTATAGGCGTCGCGCCTAATGCTTTCTTTATCTCACACAACACGAGTCAAGTAGGGTATGGTTGAGTTTTTGTACTTGCTAGTGCGAGCATATAGTTTTCTATATTGGCTTCTGGTTTCCCCTAATGAGATGGAAGGGGAGAGTTGTGAGTGAAGAGGGTGGTGTGAGTTAGATAAAATGGACTTGGCCCATTTTTCACATGAGTCCATGTGCCTGTCAACCAGAATATTAACAAGCTGGTTAAGTGGCACGTTGCTTATCCTGCTGACAACATTTAACATCCTGCGTAATATGTTGTAGTCTTTCTTCAGTAGC